ATCTTACATACCAAACAGGCTACTTTCAAAAAGAGAATAAAAGCTCCCATTCTTGGTTTTAGTCCTTTTCTGAATTTGGAAGGGAAGTTTTATAGTAAGACATGAACATGCCCCACTTTGATAATCTCTCTTCAGGTTAATAAATTAAGGTATTTCAGAATTTACATGCTAAACAGGAATCCTATGCTGTTACATAAGGCCTGCATTTTCAGGCTATACTACTATTCCATTAGCTACCATCTGAAAATTGATAAAAATTCATGAGTCATTATCTCATTATCTAGTTCCTCTGATTCATAAGGAAGACTGTTCTTAATTTCCTAAATCAAATGCTAATTTTTACTTGGGGACATCATTTTTTCTTATTTATCCATTTTTATCATATGGTTCAAGTACCTATTATAGTAAAGAAAACAACATGGACACATATCTTTTGTATTTACTGTACATATATTATGGGTTATGGTAAATGTTTTGGTGTGTGTTTTTATTTGTGCATGTTTGTGTCTGTGCATGTATATTACAATTCCTACTTTCTTAAATATATTGTCATTTTAAAAGTTCAGTTATTTTACAGTAAAACATGGCATCTAGTAGTAAATTACTATCATTATCTAAGCATTAATATTCCTACTGTACCTTAACAGACTTGACTAAAGCACTTGAAGTCAATAATATGCTCTTTACTTATCTGAATTTATGTCCCAAACTATTCATCCCAGACTTAAAAAAAAACAACAAAACTTCTATGGCCTTAACGTATGAATTCACATTTGTTCTTGGATTTATTTATAGTATGGTTGGCAGGTTATATACTTCATGGTATATTTGTATTTTTTCATCCCCAAAACTTGGTGATTTCATTCTGTATGAAATTAATTTATCATGAAGAATGAAGAGAAAGTAAGGTAAAAGGAAAACAATAATGCATTGAATTCATAGTGTACTTGTTTTATGTCACTCATCTCTATAATTTTTTAAGGTATGATTTCATTTATATAGCCATTATTTGAATTATTAATCTCTTTTAATTAATTTTGCCTTAGTAAACATCTTTTAAACTAATGATTTTTTTGTGTTTCATAAACTTTGATTTGTTGAACATTCCCTGTTATCAAAAGTAACAAGGACTGGTGTATGTAATGTCCATATTGAGATTCAGTTCAGCCTATATTCTCAGCATCACTCTTAATTGGCTATGTGAGACACTGTAATAACTATTCTTCAGAAGTTTCCCCATTCCACAGATCTTTCACTCCAACTTTAAATTGTTTTGGGTATTGGGGAACAATTATAATAATTATTGCATTGCCAATGTTTACTCTTCCACATGTAAGGAATTGAGCATCACTTGTTAAACTGAGAGCTTACTGAAAATGTACATTTGGGACCATTAAGTTGTCCTGAACTTAACTCCACAAATACTGGTCTGGTAACTAATTTGATAATCTAGAAAGCAACCTTCCCCAATTCAATCAAAACTCATCTGTACGTACAACAACTGTGTTTGGACATAGTTGTACAGGGATAAGCAACAGAGAAGAGCTGCTTCCCAGGTCCCTTGTCTCCCAATACACATAGTAACCAAGTTCACTTGCTGGAAGTAGAGGACAACCAAAGGCAGCAAGTTAGGTCTGGCGCAAGGTGAACTGGATCAGAGAGGAAGTTTCTGCCTGGGAGGGGATGGCAGAGAGCAGGTGCAGAAGTGGTTTAGCATCCTAACATGCATTGTAGTCACATTTGTCTAGAAAGGGTAGTAAACTAAGGCTTCTTAGTCCTGGATCCCAGAAGGGCTGGATCTGGAACATTGCCACCATGCCCTGTAGGTCAGTTTCTTACTGTCATCTTCCTTTTGCATTCATGGTGGGTTGTTTAGAATGCTCACGTCCTTTATCTGTGGGATCTCCTGACAAATGTGTGATCCCCAATTCAATAGGATATTAATTTATTCTAACAAGCTTGCAGGGTGAGTGATTTCACAGCCAATGTCATATTCTGAGGCATGAGATTATTCCCACAGCCTGGAACCTTCCATTGATTAAAAATTTATACCTAACCATTCTCTTTCCATTGTTATCTGAGTACAGTTAAGTTTTTCCTATATGATCTCAATTTATTGTGGTACTCATCAACTGTTCTGTTATTTATACATGGTTTCTGTGTAGATTTTAATGCTGCATGTTAGTCATGATATGAAAGTAGTAGAAAGAGAATGGATTCTTGATTTTGCTTCTGCTTAATTTTTGGTAATGTCATCTTAGGCAAATAAACTAAGATCATGCACAGTGTGGCACATATGAGTTATGATCTAAGTTATCTCAGTGAATTTTTTTTCACTTATAATTTTGAGGATCTTTTTGATCTTAAGCTGAAAGGATATAAACTAAAAATTGGGTTGAGGCTCAATTTTTTCACATCTCTTTTGTAACTTTGATATTTTCTTATGTGTGTCTCTATTCAAAGATGAAAATTTCTACTTAATCTCTTTAAATAATTTCTAAAGTCAGAACGTCTCTGTCTAGTTTGACTTGTGGCTTCACCACAATACACACTGCAGAGAAGTTTTCCTACCTCTCTGTATGATAAACTGAGTGTTAGAGTTTAAGTTGAGCTGGTTAACCTGAAAATTGGTGGTGGTAATGAAAGATGATTTGTGTGTGCATGTGGCAGGAGGAAACTGCTGATTACCTAATTAATCTGAACATCTTTGTTTCACTTATCTGGTCAAAACCTTTAGAAATTACATTGCATGGTGTCAGAAGGACAGTGAAAGTCACTGTGTCTAAGCACTCACTGTGTGCTTTTTTTTTCTAATAATGGGACCTTTCTTCTAAAGAGGACTATCAGTTTCTCTGCCTGACCTTCAGGTACTTAGGTATACCTTCCTCATGCTTCTCTTCAATGCCAGCTTTTCACACAGCAAGTTTCTATCTGAAAAGAAATCACACAGCAACACTTCCATACTTAGATATTGTTCACACTGTTTACTTTTCGAGGACATTCCATTTCCCTCGTTTTTTTTTTTTTTTGTTCCAAACCAAGCTTATTTTTAAATTAGAAATGCAGACTCATAGGCCCTGATCCTAGCTAAATCTTCAGATATTAGAAATATGACAGAAAAACTCTCAATATCTTGGTATCATATAAATATCTTGGTACAGGGCCTACTAAAAGAGAATTATATTAAGTAGGTCCTCAAGACATTTATATGCATACAAATATTTAAAAGAATGGAATAGTTGATTCTTCATTATTCAAAGCAAAAACATTCAGCTTGTATTTGGTATGAAAACAAGGTGTAATAATTTTGGTATAGTTCATAGAGCTCTAGTAGACTATTGCCAAAGAAATGAGCTTCAGCTGGGGAAATGATATTGGCCAAATTTTATTGTTCGATTTTATTTGTATATTTGTGCAAAT